TTCCCGGCTCTGCCAAGCCCACCTGGCTCTGGCACGGCCCTGGCGGGATGAGTGAGGGCCTGGCAGGGAGGCACTCGCTGCTTTGGCCAGAGCTCTGTCGCCGGGCAGGAGGACTCACCTATCAGCTGCGCTGGGCGCCCCAGGCAAAGCTCTTCACGCTCTGCCCGGTGCCAGGCAGAGATGGTGGCTGGGCACTTCTCCCGGGGTGGGCTGATCCTGCGCTGCGGCCCCAGGAGATTCGCCTCCCCATGTGGGGTTGGGCTGCCTTCTCGGGTAGGGGAGGCTTTGTCGTACCGGTAGTAGGGCGTCATTTTTAAAAGAATGGGCTTTGCCTTCGAATGATGCCCGGGAAGGTGGCGACAGGAGTGCCTGAAGCTGAGTCTCTCCACCGGGCTCCGGTTTCAGGGAGGAGCCCTGGCCGGCCCCGCATGACTGTGCCAAATGCTGCATGGCTGCGCTAAGCGCCATGGTGTTGCTCCAAATGCTGCGGCAGCACGGGGAGAAGGGAAAGCAATGGTGGCGGGAGGTCTCCCGATATGAAGTGCCCCACCAACGCCGAGGTCAACATCCAAGCCATCGCCACCCGCCCGCCTGAGGATGCAAGGGGGGGGATTAAGTCACCCCCGAAAAGAAGGCCTAGCCGTTTTTTCGGGGCTCAAAAAAAAAAAAAAAAGACCCGGCCTTATTATATGAGAAACATGGTACTTGAAACAGTTTCTTCTATCTAAATGTTGTCAGCCAATAAATTATGTTGGTTAGACCTTCTGGGAGAGCAAAGTCCATTAATTTTGTCTTTTTGTAGATTATGTATATTTTCTCTGCAATATTGGGTGAGACTCTACAAGATCCTCCTGAAGCCGACTTGGTATATGATAAAAGCAATGCTTCCATAAGGATTGCTCCACCAACACAAGCAGGTGAAAATGTGGTCAATGGAGAGTCTTGGCTAGGGTATTAATATAGAAATTGAACAATAAGAGGTTCAAGGACACACCTTTGCTCCGGCATTGGGCCAGAGTCTTCCAAGCTGATGGCATCAATTAGTGTTAATATATAACTTGTTAATGAGCAGTAGCCATTTGTCAATGTTAGTGGCCTTAATCATTTCCCACAGTTTAGTTTGAGATGGAATGCAGGCATTTTTGAAATCTAAAAAAGATGGTTATAACAAGGATATCATTCCTTAATTTTTATATCACATTTTGCATGTTAAACATAATGTAATTATCAGGCCTCTCTATAATAAATTCAAATAGCTATAAAGGTTATTTTAAAATGAACATTTGTTGTTAATCCATTTAAAGTTTGTAGCAGCTGAAACAAGTGTGCATATTTAAAATGTTCACATTTCCAATAGATGAGTTGCCATGAGAAACAGATTTTACTGAAAAGAGTTTAATTATCATGACCTGTATTATGCATGATTATCATGCACTTAAATTTGTCCAGGATGGGCAGTTGTCCTCATGAGCATAATTAAAAACTACTCTGCCAATTTTGGCAATATTATTGTGTTGTGTGTGGGAAGGGGGACAAAATAAAGGATGTAATGAATTAAGCAATTTATCAAACACATTAGAGTAGCCCATCACTTCCATGGGCAATTGGTTCTCCAATCCTAACTGAGATCAGTCATGCTACCAGTCTTTCTAGGTGCTAAATTTCTGGTCATACAATGTAAAACCAATACACAATTTCTTCACATTTTTCTTACTAATTGCAGATCTCAAATGCTTTCAGAATGATGTCGATATGCTTGCCTGTCTGCACACCTTGCAGAAAATACCCTTCAGCAGAGTGATCCTTACTTTCTGTTTCAAACTGAGTTTTCATTGCTCTTTGAATTAACAAAACAGCATTTTTTCCTTTTTTCTCACAAGAAAATATGTACATACATTTTAAGGGTCTCCTCCCCTATACAGGCACACACCAAGAGCCCCGTCTTGTTCACATATATTAGTATACATTTGGTTATCTGCAAAGCATTCTCCTCATGAGGCTACTAAAGATATGCTTGCAAGTATTTTTTGAAAATTATAAATACACTGAAAAACCTTATAAGTTTTCTTTTCACTTTAGTGCTTAACCAACAATACACATGGTGTTCTAGCAAGCCGTGACGTATGTTAATCCAGCAAATCCTGTGTGAACAGTATGCCAGCAAAATTACCTTTGAAGGCATTCCTTTGGCGAGGTAAATGAACCATTAACTGGGTGCTGGAAGTTAGGAGGCACGCAGGCAGGTTTTCCCGTAGGAAAAATAAGGCCCACTAATGTAGGCTGAACTTGTAATGCAAGTTTCATCCAAATCTTGAGGGTGATAACATGCACATTTTCTCAGGTAGGATGAGTCAGAGGTTTTGGGAACGCATATTGTGAGTATACTAGTTTACAGAACCTCATGTCTGTGTTATTGATTATGGCACGGCAGCCCAAACAATATAGAGAAACCATCATCTGAGATACTCCCTTTCCAAACATTCAGTCACTATCTCGTTTCTTATCATTTAAAACCATTATTCTGAATTCTGCATTGTGAGAGGATAAAAAACAGGCTATACCCTCCTACTTTTGATATTTTGTTCTTAATACGTTTATCTTTTGCAGTAGTTAATATAACATCCATTTGCTTTCCACACTCAGTCCATTCACATGAATAGTTCTAGAAGGCAAATAGATGCATATAGGGATTACTAAGTAAACCAACCCACTTCTTACAATGGCTCCCAAGCAGAATCAGTTGCACTGTAAGCAGGCTTAACTCTTCTGTCTCATCTTCCAATCTGTCCATTCTACTGCTAAGAATTGTCTTTTGTGTCCATGGGCCTGTGTGTTTCTTCAAAATTGTATCTCGTCTTTGTTGCCTTCATTTTTGTTATCTTATTGCAACTAGTTCAGAAATACCAACTTCTTGGGCTGGTGAACATTTTGGGAATTTAGATAACATATTACCAGTGCCAGGGGAGGAAAGTATCATGCTATGAGGGATAAAACTACCAATTATTGCTTTATTAGAGTGCTATTTTACCTAAGGAAGTGCCATAGTTCAGAATAAAGAACTAGCCTGTAATTAGTAATCTATTTTATTTTCTGAAAAAGATTCTAGGCCTACCTTATAGGAAGCAAAGAACTACTAAGTTTATTTGTACTTATAATGAACAGAAGTCACTTCACTATTTTGTTTTTATTTTCTTATTTTTTCCTTTTTTTCAGATTAATATGTTCAGGGTATAGCCATACTCTCATTTATAATATTACTTCTTATTGCAAGGATGAAAACCTTCCCCTTTTACAATAAACCTTCTATTTTACTTTTCCAAGGGCCTTGGTTTTGATATGAATTAGCCTCATATATCAAAGGGCTTGATATTTCAACATATACACGTCATATTCCAAGTTACATAAGGAAACCATTTACTTTTCTTGGGGTCAAATCATGGCAGGAATTCCCAGCTTTGTTTTGTACATACACACACCCATCCTTGAGTATTTCTTGTAATTTAAAGGCAGAGTTTAGGATAGTTCCACAAAGAGCTGAAGGAGGTGTGTGCAATTGTAAATTGCCTACTGCCAGTAAAAACTTATATAACAATAACTTAAGATGACAGGTTACTTACTGTTTTCATATCCAGCCCTAACAATCTAATTTTAAAATTCTTTTAAGCCATTTATATTACTGTGGGGTGGAATGTGCCAACTTGGTGCAGCCAACTCGTTGCAGCAAGCTCAGTGCGGCCAGCTCGCCATTGCCAAGTCACTTCTACCAACTCATCGCTGCTGAGTCACAGGACATCTCAACATGGCCAATTCACTGTGGGGATAACTTGCCACAGGCAGCTAGAGGGACAGGTGAGTGAGTGGGCAGAACACAGAGTGGTAGCTTGTGGCTTCCCATTTTCACACACACACTGCCATTGCTGCTGCCATGGGCCATTTGGAGGCACTGGCAATATTTGGGCCATTCAGGGGTGATGGGTGGCAGTTGGCAGGGGCCAGGCGCATGTCATCTTCACACCTCCTCCTGCTGTTGTGCAGATCTCCCAGGTGGTGTAAAAATGGGATATGTTTGGCTTCCACTGCCTCCCTGCCACCTGTCCCTCCCCCACCGCTGGCCATATGG